GATTTCAGTTCCCGCTTGCCAAGTAGGGACCAGCCTGGTGGCGGGGGGGAGTCCCGAGCCCACTGATAGGAGGGAGATGGGACCGGATCTTGGGCGGTGGAAGCAGGAAGGGGGGTCCTGGATGAGGGGGCTCCCCTGTGGGAGGGACATGGGAAGCAAGTGAGGAGCCAGCAGGCTGGCCAGGTGGCCCCTCCCAGGGCTATCCGCACACCCCCTTGTGTGGGGTTGAAGGGTCAGGGCGATGGTGGTTTGCTTTGATTCGCATCTCCCTGTCTCCTGGGAAACCCAGCCAAGGACTTCCTGGTCTGCAAATGCTCCTCTGACCCCCTAGGAACCTCAAGAAGTTCCGCAGGTGGCAGTGCGAGCAGGTGCGGGCCCTGCGCGGGGAGGCCAAGAGCTCCTGGAAGCGGCTGGTGGGGGTGGAGAGCGCCTGCAACGTGGACTGCCGCTTCAAGCTCAGCTCCCACAAGATGATGTTCATTGTCAACTCCGAGGACTACATGTACCGCCGGGGGACCCTCTGCCGGGCCAAGCAGGTGCCCCTCTTGCCGTGTCCTGGGAACCTGTGTCTAGCCCACAGTCATCTGGGGGTCTCTTGGCCCCTGAGATCCAGTCCATGGCCATCTAGGGGGGACCTGGGTCCAGCCCCCAGCCAGCTGAGGGCATCCGGGTCTCTTGACCTCACCCCACCCGCCCCTTGCAGGTGCAGCCCTTGGTCCTGCTACGGCACCACCAGCACTTCGAGGAGTGGCACAGCCGCTGGTTGGAGGACAACGTGACCGTGGAGGCAGCCAGCCTGGTGCAGGACTGGCTGATGGGCGAAGAGGAGGAGGACATGGTGCCCTGCAAGACAATCTGCGAGACAGCCCACGTGCATGGCCTGCCTGTGACCCGCTACCGCGTGCAGTACAGCCGCCGCCCTGCGTCCCCCTGATGTCCCCAAGCAGCCGTCAGAGCACGCAGTTTGGTGTGGTTACTTCCTCGGCCTAGGTGTCAGTCAGGGGCGTTTTCATGAACCACCCGAGGGAAGCAGAGCGCCCCTGGCCTTGCTGCCGCAGGCTGCCAGCTCCAGAGAAGGGCGGTGCCAGCCTGCGCCCCACGCCACCATCCCTCTCAGCTCCCCAGCTTCCCTTGGGCTAGTCCTGTGCCAAAACTGAAACCCTTGCACTTGAACTCGGGGCTCAGTCCCCAGCAGAAAAGGGAGGATCCATGCGCTGCCTGAGGAACAAGCATTATGTTCACACACTTGCCAGGTGGGGCTGCACTGGTCACTTTGTGCACAGGACTTCTGGGAAAGTCCGTGACAAGCCTCACGAGGGCACACGGTTGGAAGAGTCAGCCTTTGGGAGCCCACGGCATAAAAGGAGCTGGGCCACGGACCTGCTTGAAAAGCGTGTCCTCCTCAAGTGGTTCTGAGACCTTCCAGAGACATCTCAAGCCGGGCAGTGCCCGTATCTGATAGTGTGGGCATCGGCTGCTGCTCGGGTCCTCATTTTTCAGCAGCGAGAGCCCCTTCAGCGAGGCGTGGGGTGGGTGGGGGGCACCAGAATGGCCCAAAAGACCCCTGCTATGGAAAGATGATTTCGCCAAACCCTGTGTTGATCCAGCAGCCGGACTCTGGGTCTGTGAGGGACAGGGCTCGGCCCAACGCTCCCGCCGTCGGGCTTGGGTGGCCTGTGTTGGGAGGGCCCCGGGGTGGGATTCTGTACCTAAGATGGACATTCTAGAAATAACATAGATACGCACACATATTTATTCCTTCATACTCTTCTAGTGGTTGTAGCTTTCGCAACAACCAAGTCCCGAGGCTCCTGGGGGAGTGAGCACCCTGCTCGCACCCACCCTGATGCTGCTGTGCCCACAGCTGCCGCCCTGGGAGGGCCTACGGGGGAGGGGGCCACACAGTTGGGCCTTGGCACCGGCTCTGTGAACCTACTGCGCCAGGAGAGCCCCTGGCAGCGTCACAGTGGGGCCCGCTGGCAGGCGGGCTGGAAGCCACCCCGAGCGGCTGCCTCGCTGCCGTCCTCGTCCTGAGCTGTGCCGAACCCACCATTCGTGTTTCTAAAAGTTACCTGTGGAACTCAAGGTTTGTGAAGCCTTCGACTCAAGGGCCAAGGCCCCCGTGTCCCCCTCGGGTCTCCCTGCCCATGTTTTCTCAAGTGTAACCAGGCACTTTGTCTGAATCCTTGTTTTGTAAGAAGGGAACTTACCAGGATTTCTGCCCCAACCCTTCAGGCAGCCCCTCTGTGCCTCAGTGGGGACCTGGGCATTTGCCAGCCTCCTCTCCCCAACCCCACCTGCATGCTTCTAGGCAGCTCTTTCGTTTTTGAAGAATTTATGTTCTGGGGCTTAGAATTCCTTTGCAGCTGTTTTGATTGTAGTTTCCTTTTCTATTTATTTGCACATTAATGTTAAAAATTAAATATTGACCTGAAGCTGTGATGTCCGTTTTTTCCTGCAAGCAAATCCCAGGGGCTGGAACTGACCAGGAGCAGCTCCGGGATTCCCACACTTGGCAGGTTCCCTGCGCATGAGGTTCCGTTTCCTGTAGGGCCCGCCCCCATACCAGAGCATTTTCCAGAAGATTAATCCCGATTCAGCTTTTATATTCATTAGAAGTGCAAAGTGTTTCCATCCAGTATTGTGCATGCAAAACCCAATTACAGGATCTGGGGTTTGCTCTGAGCTTCCTGAGGCCTGGTGGGGGGTGGGGGGAGCCCCCTCTGCAGGCAGGGGGGAACTTGCTTCTCCAGCTCCACAAGACCACCCTCCTTACTCTGGGAGGGGCTGCCCCTTTCTGCCTTGTGCTGCTTGCCCACCACTCAAGCCCTCTGAATATCTGTAGGACCCCCTTGCACTGTCCTGCTCCCACACCTGAGGACTGGGGTTGCCCACACCTCTGCTCAGGGGCCTCAGCCGTCCGGTACCTCTGTTTAGGCAGAGGAACTGGCTGCACCCTCCCGCTGCCCCCTGTACCGCCCCCTCCCCTCAGCCCTGCCCAGTGCCCATCACTAGGCCTTTCCTGTCAGGTTCCTGTGCTCAGTTGGCACCACCCTGCCACCTGGCCAGTCCTCTCCCAGGAGTTGTCCCACCCTCCCAGGGACCCCTCCCCCCATGTTCATCCCCCATAACACATGTTGCCCCTGGCAGTGCCTGCCAGTCAGGGAACCTGGAGAAAGGCTCCTACCGTCGGGTTCCTCCCGCCCTGGAGCCGGCATCCGGGCTGCTCGGGGCGCTGCTGCCCACACACTGGCCGCCTTCGGTCTGAAGCGCTGGACGGGAGGCCTCAGCGTTAAAATAGTGGACACTGTGGCTCCCAGGACGGGCGCCGGGTCCCCTGAGAGCAGATGAGAGGGTCCCATTGTGGGCAGAGCTCTGATAGGCCCCAGGATTCCTGCCCACGCAGACACTGCCCATTAGTCCGTGCCCTCAGATGCCCTGTGACAGTAGTGAGGTTCCTGGACGGCAACTGAAAGGCGGCCTCCTGCTGGCCTTGGAGACAGCAGCTCCGTGCGCACGGGGCGGGGGCGGGGTGGGGGGTTTGGCGTGGGACCGCTGCAGATGCGGACCCGGCCCCGGGACTGCAGCCGGGGAGGCCTCAACTCACAACTCCTGAGTCGAACTGCCCTCCTGGGCCCTCTGATCTGCCCTGGCCCAGTGTCACCAGCCCCCAGCTTCCCCTGCACAGGCTTCCTAGAGGGTAGCGGAGCGTCCGCGTCCCAGTGTTCCTGTGCTGAGGGCGTCATCGGTCACGTGCTGCCCAGAGACATGGGCATGGGCTGAGCTAGTCCCTGGTGGGGGCTGCTCAGAACGGGGAAGGCTCCTGGCTGAGACCCCCACCCAGCGGGGCTGCTCCAGGCCTCCGTCCCCTTCACCCCGCGGCTAAGGACTGGGACCTAGGAGGCTCAGCCTCTCGCCACACTGTCCACATTGCTCAGTCACTTCCTGCTGATCCCTCTGTCCCTGAGGGTGACTAGATTAGGGTTTGCTGTGCCGAGACCCACCATATCTAACCCCTTCTCCCACCCCTACTTCACTTCTCCTTCCTTGACCCCCACTGCCCCCTCGGGGTCCTCCTGCTCCCAGACACATGGCCCTGCTACCATGTCCCAGCACTGACCACACAGAGCTGAGAATCCCCCCTGCCCCCGCGCCGTTCACAGCTCCCCAGGGCAAGACTTGTTGGAGGCTTCTCTAAGCTCCGCAGGGGAATGGGGGGACTGTGTGCAGGACAGAGGAGTACCTTCCCCTCTGAGCCTCAGTTTCCAAGTCTGCACAGTGGGCCCCCATCAGAATGGAGGAACTTGGAGGGGCCGGAGGAAGGAAGGCCTCCTGGGAAACGGTACGGGGGTCTCTTGGCCTGGGCTGGCCCGGCTGCCTCCGTTGAAGGCTCAGTTGTGGTTGTGACCGTCTCTGCCAGCCATTTCGGGGGCCCCAGGCTGAGGTGGGGCCAGGGCAGGAGCAGAAGGAGCTTCAAGAACTGAGGACCCCTCCCAGAAGAGGCGGCGCCCAACTAACCTCAGCGCAGGAGGCCAGTGTCAGAGGCTGCGGCTAAGGCCCACCCCTCCTCAGCCAGGGTAGCCGACCCGACCCCCAGGGCCCCTTCCCCTCTGCACCTCGCATTGCGCCTGCCCAGGAGCCATGCTGGGGCACGGCTGAGGCCTCCGGAAGGTGGGGCAGCCCCACAGAGATCCTAGGGGCCTGGGTGTGTGTGTGAGGGTGGGAGGCCTTCACCTACTCTGACCTATGACCTGGCAGGCAGGACTCTGGTGTTGCCCACCAGAGAGAAATAAGAAGTTGGGGGGCGGGCAGCAGCTTCAGGAAGGGCCACAAGCGCCTGATGGGCGACGTGACCTGGAGGGCCGGGCTGCTATGAGAGCCAGGACTGGCCAGCAGGAAGTGATCACTTGGCCCACAGAGGCTTCCCGGGCTGGACAGGGGCTGCCGCCGGGACTTCCTCCCCCACCTTACTGGCCCAGTACCTGGGTCCCGGGAGGCACCTCTGTCCGACAAAGTGGCCCCAGCTACCAGGCCACCTTAGGTCGTCCGTGGGCCTCTCACGGGCTGGCTGGGAGCAGAGGCCGGCTTATCTCCCTGGGCCCTGTCTGCTCCTTCGCCTGCGCTCAGGAAGCTGGGGGTGGGGGTCCAGCAGACAGGAAACCCAAGGCCAGCTGGCCGAAGTCTGGAGAGCCCAGAGCAGCTGGCACCCAGCCCTGGTAGCATGTGGGTGCTCCTGCTGCTGTGGCCCCTCTGGGGTTTGAACACTCTGGGGTTCAGCCCTGAGAGTGGCGCCAAGACCCCCAGTGTCTACGATGAGGACGAGAGCGCACAGGGAGGGGATGGTGAGTGACTCCGGGCACTGCCTCGGGACCCAGGGGGAGGCGTCATGGAAGGGCAGGAGGGGACTAGGGGCCTTCCAGCTCGGCCCCAAGCCCACGGGGCTGGGGGTTCCCGTGTCATGGCTAGCTCTGTCCCACCATCCTGGGAGCTCCTGAGAGCTGGGGCCTGGACCGCAGCCCCCGGGGGACACCATCCAGCAGGAGGGATTGGTCGAAAGGGGGGGATGACGCCTGGGTTCTCAGCACCTCTACCCCCCTCCCCTCCCTCAGATGGCACGCCGGGACCTTGGACCAAGCCCCAGGTGGCGACCCCGTGCCCGTCCCTCCCGCGCAGCTTCCCCGGCTGGCCTTGTGCCAACAACAGTGACACTCTGGAGCTTTGGGACAGCTCTCGGGCACTGCTGTTGGGCTGGGTGCCCACAAGACTGGTGCCCACTCTCTACGGGCTGGCCCTGGCGGTGGGGCTGCCCGCCAATGGCCTGGCGTTGTGGGTGCTGGCCACGCAAGTGCCTCGCCTGCCGTCCACGGTGCTGCTCATGAACCTGGCGGCTGCCGACCTGCTGCTGGCCCTGGCCTTGCCGCCCCGCATCGCCTACCACCTCCTGGGCCAGCGCTGGCCCTTGGGCGAGGCCGCCTGCCGCCTGGACACAGCCGCACTCTATGGCCACATGTACTGCTCCGTGCTACTGCTGGCTGCCATCAGCATAGACCGCTACCTGGCCGTGGTTCACCCACTGCGCGCCCGCGCCCTGCGAGGCCCGCGCCTGGCGACGGGGCTTTGCGCCGTGGCCTGGCTGGTGGCGGCCACCCTGGCACTGCCCCTGGGGCTGCAGCGGCAGACCTTCAAGCTGTCCCACTCCGACCACGTGCTCTGCCACGACGTGCTGCCCTTGGGCACCCAGCTCTCCTACTGGCGACCTGCCTTCATCTGCCTGGCCGTGCTCGGCTGCCTGCTGCCCCTGCTGGCCATGCTGCTCTGCTACGGGGCCACACTGTGTGCGCTGGCCGCCGGGGGCCGCCGCTACAGCCACGCGCTGAGGCTGACTGCGCTGGTGCTGGCCTCGGCCCTGGTCTTCTTCGCACCCAGCAACGTGCTGCTGCTGCTGCACTACTCGGACCCGGGCCCGGAGGCCTGGGGGCACCTGTACGCAGCCTACGTGCCCAGCCTGGCGCTCAGCACCCTCAACAGCTGCGTGGACCCCTTTGTCTACTACTACGTGTCCACCGAATTCAGGGACAAGGTGCGGGAGGGGCTGCTCCGCTGGGTGCCGGGTTCTGCCACGACTTCCAGGGAGGGGGGCAGCCGGGGCACGGGCACCTACTCCTCCTCCCTTGTATGACGGTCCCTTGGAGGCAAGGCAATGACGGCGGGTTACAGTTGAATAGCGTCTCCCCCCAAATTCATGTCCACTAGGAGCCTCTCCTGAGCTTGTTTGGAAATAGCGTCTTTGCAAGGGGAATTGGTTAAGATGAGGTCACACTGAGGTAGTCGGCCCTAAGCCTTACATGACTCACGTCCTTATACGAAGATACAAGGACACAGAGCAGAAGGCTGTGTGTCCGTGGAGTCAGAGGTCATGGCCACAGCTAAGACACCAAAGGTTGCTGGCAGCCACCGGAAGCCAGGAGAGCAGCCTGGGAGGGACCCTCCCTCAGGCCCTGCCGAAGTACCCAGAACTGAGACAATAAACTGCTGTGGTTTTAAGTTGCTTGGCTTGTGGTACTTGGTTACAGCAGCCCCAGAAAACCAAGACAGGGGTTATATGCAGGCTGTCAGGCCAGCCCAGCTCCCTCACGGGCTGCGCTGGACCCGCCTGAGAATCGCACCCAGAAGGCGCAGGCCCTCCCGCCCCCTAGGGGCCCAGGCAGTGGGGGCCTGGTTGTCAGCAAGCCAGCTTCCAGCTCCAGGGTCCGGGGAGTCTCCTGGGCAATCACTGTGGACACACCCAGTCTGCTCCCCGAAGCCTCACGCAACCCATCATTGGGAGCCACAGGGCTCCGTCTCCTGCTGTCCCCTGGCTGTCCCCTGTTCCCTTTAACCTGACTTCTGATTTCTCTTCTCATTTGATGTAAACTCCCACCACCTGCACTGGGTGGGAGGGGAATGAAAGGAGGCCCGCTGTGCGCCTGGGGGAGGGGGTTTCTGCCTCTACCCCGACCCCTGCTGTTTACTGCCTGCTCTGAACTGGGCGGGAGGGGACACCACGTGGGGTGAGGAAGCTGCCATCGCCCTCTCCAAGACAGGGAGCAGCACCCATTGTCAAGAGCCACTGAGGCATCAACCATGGGGGTCGGCAAACCTCCCAAGACAGAGGGCCGGGGTGGAGGTCCGTCCCTGAACTCCCCATTGGGCCTATGTCCCTGGTCTGAGGAAAAAAGGAGCTGGGCAGCCCCGGGGCGCATGCACGCACCCGGGGAGTGCAACGTCAGGGACATGTCCCCACAGCAGTGGCCTGGTGTGATGGTGTCCTAAGATGTCACCAGATGGGGGCGTCTGAGTGGGGGTACAGAGACCTCTCTGCATTGGTGCAGCTTCTTACCAATGCACAGGACCCTGATCATCTCGGGGTGCGGATGTGCAACATCCTCCTCCCCAACCTGCTCTGGAAGGTTGGGCTGTTGAAGGAACAGAGGCCTGAGCACCAGATGGCACCTGGGACTCTAGCTTTCGGGGCCGGCCCTGCCGAAGGCCAAAGCCTGCCGGTGACGGTGGAAACAAGCTTTTATTATACCAGTGGCTTCCAGTGATCGGAAAACGGGGCTGGAGCCAGCGGTCTGTCCCTCGGAGGCTGCAGGGGTCAGGCATGGGGGGCGGGAAGGCCGATGCTGCACAGCCGAGACCCTATGGCCGGAGCAGCCACCTCAGGCCCTGGACGGCTCTCTGCGCTGCTCCGAGTGTTGGTCTGAAATAAATACCACGTGGGAGTGGGAGGCGGGGAGACAGGCGGATTCGAGGATTACAACGAGGCATCCATCAGACCACAGCTGGAGGGCCCTGGGAGGAAGGTGGGTCTGAGAGGTGGCTTCGGTGGGTTGCGGAGCTGCGCACCCAACCCGGGGCTGCGGAGGGGGTGGTCCTCCAGGTGGGGTGCCTGGGGACCAAGGGTCAGGGGTGAGGCCTTGACAGCTGTAAGGTCCAGGCACATCTGCCCAAGACTAAACCCTCGGGCACCTCTGGGGCGAGACTGGGCAGAGGCTGTGGGCACTGCAACAGCGCTGGTATAACTCAGGGTCTGGAGGCGCTCCGTGTCCCAGGTCCCCAAAGGGAGGCCGGGGCTTTGCATTTTGAGGAAAGGTGGCCTGTTTCATTTCAAAGTTGCTGATGAGGGCACGGATGCTATGTCCTTGATTTGTCCAGTCATGTCTTCTTAGAAACAGCCCTTCTCCCTGGAGCAGGATGTCCGGCTGAGGAAGCTGCTCTGGTCTGCAGAAAGCGGACTCCCAGCCCCGGGAAGGAGGCTGGGGTACCTAGAGCTCCAGCTGCAGCTGGGGAGTTGGGGGCGAAGGGCTTCCAGCCACCCCCACAAAGGCCTTCCCGCCTGTGGAGATGGGGGCGGGGCCACCAGGCGGCCAGTCACCTGTCGAGGCAGGTCAAGTCTCTGCAGTTTGGTTTATGGGATTCATTTAGAGGTGGGGTCACCCGGGGTGGGGCCCACCAGCCCACCAGGCAGTCAAGGGAGCTTTGGCCTCTTTCTGGCTGAGCGGACAGGAACAGGAGCAGCCAGGCCGGGTCCCGGTTGGAGCATCAGGAAGAGAAGCCACTCTGACTGATGGGGAGAGGAGGAGAAAGGCACTGTGGCCTGTCACATCGTGAGGGGCCCTGGGCACTCACGCCTGACCCTGCCTCCATGTGGCCCCGCCCGGCCGCCCCGGCCCATCGAGACAGCACAGCCTCACCCAGAGAGCTGTCACTTCTGTGAAGAGCTGCGCAGCCTGTGTGGGGCCATTAGCCAAATCGAAGAACTCTCTGCGGACCTCAACTCAGCTGTGAAAAGGGAGGAATCACTGTTACCCAAAACTGCAAGATGTATCTCTGCTGAGTGAGAAAGCCAAGGTCAGAAGGTTGCGTGTGTCACACTTCTGTCGAGGAGGGCAGGTGGGGGGACAGGGATGAGGGTGGCTATGAAATGGCAGCGACAGGGACCCTTGAGGTGAGGAGCTCATCTGTCTTGACTCGGGTCATGGTTACCCAAATCTACACATGAGGAAAACTTGCAGACTTCAAGGCAAACAAGCACACGTGGAAGTGGCGGCATGGGAATAAGACGGGCGGATCGTGTAGATGTCCTTTCCTGGTGTCACATTGTATTCTAGTTCCGCAAGATGTTGGGGGTGGAGGGAGCTGAGATCTTTGTGTTATTTCTTTTTTTAAAATTTATTTATTTATTTTTAGAGAGAGGAAGCAAGGGAGAGGGAGGGAGGGAAAGAGGAGAGAAACATCCATCAGTTGCCCCTTGCACACCCCCAACCGGAGACCTAGCCCACAACCCAGGCATGTGCCCTCACCGGGAATCGAACCCGTGACCCCTTGGCAGGCAGTCAATTCAGAGCCACACCAGCCAGGGCTTGTGTTATTTCTTACAACTGTGTGTGAACCTATGACAACATCAGATTTAAAAGTTGAACAACTCCCCACCTCATAAACAAAAACAAAAGCAGACCCCCTCAGAAGGCACCGAAGGGGATAGCAACGCTTGGGAGAGTTTACAGCTGTTCACATGACAGCTACAGCAGGAAGGATGGCTGAGGAAAAACACGGAGACACACGACTTCAAAGGTGACGCCTTTTTGATGAAGTGGTACAATATTCACCCCAAGTAGACTGAAAAGCTTAAGGATGAAGATTGTAGTCCCCAGAGCTACCATTAAAACAAACAAACAAGGGTAAAAGGACACTAGCTAAATTAAAGTGGAATTCTTAAAAAAAAAAAAAAAATTCAATTAATCCAAAAGAGAGCACGAAGGGAGGAACAGGTGGGACAAAACAGAACTATCCCAACAAGATGCATGTGGGCTACCCCCAACTGCCTGATACAAGATGACGCACCCATGAAGTCCTGGGGCTTTGGTAGGTGCCGATTATTGCTGGGTTTGCTGAGTGGGCGTTGCACCTGGCCTTTTGCCACTGGGATGGGGTGGCTAAGACCCTCTTCGGGGAGTCAGAGGACAGAGCCAGAGGCCAGGTGGTGCAGCCAGCCCCAAGGGCTGGGCACGTGACTGAGCTGATAAATCAGCCTGCTGCTATAACCTCTTGAGTTGAGTTTGCTGTAACTTACACCCAAAAGATTGGCCTCCTTGCCCTGGGCCGGGTGGCTCAGTTGGTTGGAGTCTTCCCATACACCAAAGGGCTGTGGGTTCGGTGTCAGGTCAGGGCACACACCTAGGTTGCGGGTGTGATCCCGCGTCAGGATGTACGGCAGGCAACTGGCCCATGTTTCTCTCTCACATTGATGTCAATGTTTCCCTCTTCCTTCCAATCTCTCTAAAATATCCTCAGGGGAGGGTTAAAAAAAAGTCTGGCCTCCTCCGGGAAGTCTGCTGAGAAGGCTCACCCCACAGGGCTCTTGTGTGGTCTGACAACTTCCACGGGGGCGACAAAGATTCTCTCCCTGGCCACACACCACTCAGGCTCCTCTGGGCTCTTTTTCAACTAGGTCCCCAGCCTTGGACGGCTGTGTTCATCTTGCTCCTGTCCAATTGTGGCAAGAATCCTAATTCAGTTTAGCCAGGATCCCCACCCACCTCCACATCCGATCCCCAGGTCCCCCTCGTATCTAACCAGGTTCCCCGCCCCCCCCATCCCACCTCCCGGATGACTGCTCTCCCAGCCTGCCTTCAGCAGGAACCCTGCTAGGGTGGTTTAGCCAGCTCCCCCTCCCCCGATGTTTCCTCTGAGTCATTTTCCACTCCCTGACCACCCCACCCTGCTCCTTGGCTATGAATCCCCACTCCTCCTTGTATTCGGAGTTGGGAAGCTGCTCTGGTTACAATCTCTCTCCCCACTGCAAGACTCCCTCTACCTATCTTGATTCCCCACCTCGAATAGAACCAGCCTTCCATGTGTCATGAATACTTTCTTGACAGTGGTCCCGAGCCCAGCACGCCTCAGGAACAGGCCTGTCCTGGGGTCTCATCCTCAGGGGGCTCACCCTGCCCAGAGGCTGTTCTCTGACGTGTTGGATGGACACGGGTAGGGGAGACAAGATCCCCCACCTTGTCCTGGAAACCCACCCCCAGAAAGGCTGACCCCTCCACTGTCTGGATTCCCACTCCCTGCCTGGGTCCAGGGCTAGTGGAGGGGGCCGGCGGGGGCGGGGGGGGGGGGGCAGCTCTCACCTGCCTTCTGCCTCCCCCTCCAAGTCCATGGCCTCTTGGCTGACTGCCAGGTGCCCAGGGTCCAGGGGGACTGGGTCATAGTTGTAGTTATAAGCAGAGGCTGGCCTCGGATGCTCTGGAAGAAGGGAGACTTCATAGGTCAAGGGTGCTGGCGGGGGAGGACCTGGTGGCCCACAGGAGAGGAGGAGATGTGAGGCCCAGAAACCAGGCAGGAGGTGAGAGGCACAGAGCTGGGGGGCAGGTGGGGGTGGGAGGAGACAGCAAGATTGAGAAGAAGATGCAAAGAGACCCAGAGGCTAAGAACCGGAGCTGGGATGACAGGAAGAGAGAGATGGAGACAGGGGGAGAGAAGAGGTAGGTGCCACAAAAAACACGCAAAGCTGTGGGGAGGGGGAAAGAGAGAGGGTGCGGCTCGGCGCGGGGGCGAGGAGCAGGGACCCATGCGGTGGGGGAGGGGCGGGAAGCGAGGAACCGAGCGTTGGGAGGGGTGAAACGGAGAGAAGGAAACAGAAGTGGGAGGCGAGCCGCGCGGGGCAGGGGGACACAGGCAGGCAGGGACCAGGCGTTGGGGAAGAGGCCCCGGCCAAGGCACGTGGAAGCGGGGCTGCTCGGCGGGCAGCGACCCGAAGGGAAGGGGAGGCGAGGGCAGCGGAGGGCAGAGAATAAGAGGGCGGTGAAGAGTGGAGGAGGCGATGGGGAGGGGACGCGGAGGAGGTGATGGAGAAGATGGCGTGAGGCGCTCCAGAGCAAGGTAGGGTCCCCGGGGCCAGGCACGGGCGGGTCCTCACCAAGGGGGCAGCGGCGCAGGGGCGCAGACTCCAACCTCAGGCCCCTGCGGCAGGCGGCCTCCTGCAGGCAGCAAGCACCGGCGTAGAGGACGCCGTCGGAGCCGCACACCACGTCCCTGCGGGCGCCGCAGGCTCGGGCGCAGCCGCAGCGCGCGATTGTCGCCCCCTCCTCGGGGTCAGGCGAGGGGCCCCTCTCTCCCGGAGACCAGCCTAGGGAACGGAACTAAGTCGTCAGAGGCCAGGGAGCCGCCTCCCCACCGCGCCTGCGTCTCCCACCCATCGGACCTGGATCGTACAGCTCCCAGGACCCCCGCCCCAAGAGGGGGGACCGCTGTGCCACTGTTACAGGGAGGCTCTGAGCCTAGGCCTAGTGTAGTTTCTTTCAAGTATTTGCACAGTACTTACCAAAATAAATTAAAAATTTTCTAAAGTTTAAAAGCAATCTAAACTCATTTCAAGAAGTTGGGTGGATAAAAGGCCCAGGACTCCCGGCGCCCTCCCCCTCCCCCGCCCGCGCCCAGACCTTCACTGAGGCCACTCTCGGCGCTCAGGAGGAGGGCCCGCTGTCCCCACCCCCTCAGGATTGTGTGTGTTGTGGGGGTGGAGGGAGGGGGGGCAGGCAAGGGCTCTCGAGAGCCCGTCCGAAGCTCGGCCTCCCACCTGGCCGGCCGCGCTCGGCTCGCCCCTCCGCACAAAACGCGTGCCCCAGAGGACTGGGTCCTCACCACGCCGATCCCTCCTCTGCCAGGCCAGCCCCCGTCTCCGATCTGATCTCAGCTCCCAGCCCACCGCCCTCCCGACGCCCGCGGGGAGTGGGGCAACGGCCTCGCGCACTCACCCGGGCCCTGAGCTGCGGAGCGCTCCACCTCGTTGCACGCGGGCCCTGCGCCCAGCTCCCGGGCAAGCGGGCTGCGCGCGCTGACATTGTAGAAGCGGGTGGCCTCAAAGGCTGCGGGGCGAGGGCGACTGGTGACAATGTGATGGGGTGACAGGGCGAGGGGCCGAGCTGAGGTGGGGGACCGCGGCAGGGGCCTACCGGGCTCGTAGTCGTCGTACATAGTGATAGGCAGCGCGGAGGTCCTGCCCACCACGTGCTCGTGCTCTCGGAGCGCCCAGAGCTGCACGCAAGTCAGGCGTGGGCGGGGGATCTGAGGGGCGGGGCGAGGGGCTCAGGCGCGGCCGGGTCGACGAGGCCCAGGGAGTGAGATCTGATCCTCCATGCTCTGCAGAGCCCAAAGCGTGGACCCAGACTGGCTGATTTCAGGGTACCCCAGAGCGGGTGACACAGAAACCTGGTCCCATTTCAGTTCTGCGGGTCCTTTCCCCCCACCTGGAAATAAGTCTCACCTGGCCTCTCAACTCCCCAGACCTACAGCAGGGGGCCTCCTTCGCTGGGCGTGGCATTTTGCGCTGTTGCGTAACCACTACCCCTATGTAGTCCCAGAACGTTTCATCACCCTACCGCCCCTGTCCCCGTTAGCAGTCACTCCCTAGCCTCCTCTTCCCCTGTCCCCGGATACAGATGGGGTCACACACCACCTATCACTTTGGGTCACACCTCCTTCAGCACTTTTTTTAATTTTTAAAAATTGATCGATTGATTTTAGAGAGAGAGGAAGGGAGAGAAATAAGAATTTGTTGTTCCACTTATTTATGCCTCCATTGTGTGCTCCTTGTATGTGCCCTGACTGGGGACTGAACCCGAAACCTTGGCGTGTGGGATGACACTCGAACCAACTGAGCCACCGGGCCAGGGCTCTTGGCTCATTTTTGAGGTTCAGTGTGTTGGTGCTTCACTCCCTTTTATGCCCAAATACTATATTCCACGCCCCTGCCCTCTTTCCCCAGCCGGCCGGGGCTCGCTGCCATCAGCCACACCAGCTAAGCCTGAATTTACTCTCCCGGTTTCTTTTGCGCGGTATGGGATGGTTGGCCGAAGCGCGCGGGCCACAGCCGCTGTGCCCCCGCCAGTGTGGGTGCTGGGAGGCCTCTGCCCACCGCCCCGGCCAGCAGTACCTCATCAAAGTAGGAGAGCGCTCTGCGTCCAGCTACCGCGTACCTCTTCAGGGCCACGCACCAGTCAAGGAGCTGCTGGTGAGGAAGCCAGAGGTCGGGTTCCCGGTCCCTCAGCGATGCTTGCTTCCTCCCCCATGTCTTCGCGGCCCACAGTGGCCAGTGGGAGGTAGGCTTGGGGGAGCCAAGGCCCCAGAGGCTGGGCGGGGGGGTTTACCCACTGTCATCGAGTCCCCATGGGCCAGGTCCAGCAGATGACAATCAGTGCTCCCCAGGCCCTGCGGGCCCCCTGGCCCGGAAGAGGGCACCTAAGCCTGTCCCCATCCCCAGCGGCCACCGCCTCCCCCCTCCCACAGCCTCCTCCAGTCCTGCCCCAGCCGCAGGTCCTGCCTCCTGGTGGCCCCCAAGGGCCAAGATGAGCCTTGTCACCGGCCCTTGCCTGGCCTGCACTGTTCAGCCATCACCCCCCAGCCTGGGGCCTCTTTCCAGTTTTTGACACAAAACCAGAGCCTCTGTGCTGGGCTCCTGGTTCCCCTAGTACCCTTCCCAGTCCCCCAATCACCTCCTCCCCACACTGTGGACCCCTGTGGGCAGAGCCCCCCATTTTGGGTACCCCCTTCCCCTACAAAAAGGGACAAGAAGCCAGTCTCTCTTGGAGCAAGTCTGTGAAGCCCTCCACTGCACAGCTAACCACCAGACGGCCCGGCGGGGGGCGCACCTGATGGGAGAGCCCCCACCCCTCCCCGCCAGCCCCTCGGTAGGCAGCCAGCTGCAAAGCACCCACTTGGCCCAGAAGGAAGGAAACAAAACCACCACCCCATTTGACGAAGTGCTGGGAATTTGCAGGCTGGGCAGGACTGCCGCCGGAGAGCCGCCTGGCCCCTGTCCGCCAGCGCTGCCTCGCCTGCTCCAGGCTCCCCGCGTCCGCCCGGAAGCCTGACAGCAAGGGCACCTCCAGGACAGCCCTGTTGCAGGACCCTGGCGCAGCCCCCTTCCAGCAGGAGGAGGGGCAGGCCTCACACTTGGGCTGCCCAGTCCCCCGCCCCCTCCCGCCCACGTGGCTGGTGTCCTGCCCTGGGCCTGGCTGGCAGGCTGTCTGCGCTCACACGGCCCTCCGGGTCATCGTCGGCCAGCCCATTTCACAGCTGAGACGCTGAGGCCAGAAGCAGAGCCCTGCCGAGGGCTCCAGGCCTGACCCGGGTCCGTGGACCCTGGGCCGTGTTTTGTCCTGAACCCCACACTCCACCCCCAGCGTGGGAGGCCAGGTGACTAGGGAAATGCAGTCACCAGTGGCGGACCTCAGACTCTCCTTTGTCATGGGGTGCAGCGACTGGCCTCTGGGGCTTGCTGCGTGTCAGGCCCCCGCTGGGCAGGGCGCTGGTGACAGTGGGGAGACTGACATTCAGAGAGGAGCCCGCAGGCTGTGGGCCCAGGGGGGCGGGGCGGCCCCAGCTCCGGGGGTGGGTGGGCAGGCTTCCTGCGGGGGGAGGCCTGCGTGAGCCCTCCGGGGCGCACACAGTGGGCTCTTCCAGACACTGCGGGGCTGAGGGTCAAGGGCAGGGCAGGTGCTTGGAAAGAGTTTGTTGGTTGCCATGGCAACCACTCACCTTTGGGCCCCGAAGCTATTGTTAAGGCAACAAGCACCCTTATGGGCAGCAGCATACGCCCCCCTGAGCACCTGCTGTGGCCCAGCCCTGGGGTCACTCTCGGGAAGCCTAGAGGCTGGAGCTGGTGCGTCATGCGGGGGCCACAGACAGATGTGCACCCCCGCGGCCCGCTGCTGGGTCTGCTGCGTCCATTCAGAGGCATCTGTTTCCTTCGCTCATTTCAAAAACCACCTGTAGCCTAAGTGGCTCACATTAAGCTTTTTGATTGTGGAGGCATCTCTTTCAAAGCCAGTGCTCTAGAATAAACTTCCGCCATCTGTGTGACAGTTACTAGATAAACGACTAGATGAGGAGCCATGCTGCCCCCACCCCTGAAGGCCCCCTTCCAGAAAGCTCTGGTGACCTAGAAAACGGACTGCTTGAGTGACCTCCGTTCTCCCTTCCTGCATCCTAATTCCTTGTATTTTAAAGTCACCAATAAAGAGTAAGCCTGCAAAACCCTAGACACCCCACCCTTGGACTTCAACAAAGCCAGAGCCCCGGGTCCATGATTCCTCTCTACCCACAGTCTTGCTGGGTGGCCCCGGGCGTGCCGTGTACCCCTCAGGACCCTTGTGTGTCGTTCCTGATCGCTGCGGCTCCTGTGCATCCTACAGACACCGTGGCACTGGCGCCCGTCGGAGGAGGTGTCTCTGTGGCCAGCAGCAAGGGACTGGGGCCCGGGGGAGGGTCCTGGGTGTTTGTAGCCAATGCCCCCGCCATCGATAGGCTGGGGCTGACAAAACCGTACCCAAACACAGGGCAGGTGGCCTCACCTGGTGCACACCTCCAGGGTCGCCTGGTACTCCTGGTGATGCTGGTCGGCTGCTGGGTCATCGTCATCGGCTGAGGGTGCTGGGGCAGGGCGCTGGGGCCGCTCACCCTCCGGCTCCTGGAGACTCACGAGCAGCTGGAAGGATGGCTTGGCCACCGGGTCTGGCACATGGTAGGTGACGTCAATCTGGGGGGCGTGGGAGGAGTAAATCTTAGGTGCTCTGGGGGTGGGGATGAGGTGAGGTGGGGCAGGTGGGGGACAGCCAGAATGGTGCTGACAGTGACATCGGCCATATTCCATTTGGGCTTGAAATGGCCAATGCTGTTGAGCTAGAACGTCACCCCATTTCTACATGTCTCAAGCCCAGGTCGGTCCACCCCAGGACTCTCCTACCCGCCGTGCTGTCTGAGCTCCCATTTTAGAGATGGGAAGGCTGAGGCTGCAAAGGTCGCCAGGCAGACTTGCCCTGGAGACCACTGGGATGCTCACTGGGTCCCCAACCACTTGCTGCCAGAGCCTGTGGGGCGGTCCTGCCCCAGCTCAGAGCTCAGCTCAGGACCTGGTGGCAGAGGGACTACAGGCAGGGCCAGGCTAAAGCCAGTCAAACGGATCTCCCTGGAGGGACCCCACACCCAAGGGGGCACATGGGTCACCTTCACCAGACTCTGCTGTGGGCAGGGTGGGCTGCCTATGGGGTGCTGACGGCCTGTCCTGGGGTCCCTCAAGCACACATACCCACCCTGTGTGCTGAGCTCCTCCCCCTCCTGCCCCTCCCGGGTCCCGGGTTCCAGGGTTCCAATTGCCCCTGTGGGCGCCCGCTCCCCCTGCCACCTCACCTGCATCAGGCAGCAGCCTTCACTCTTGGCACTCATGAACAGCCCCGTGGGGAGGCTGGGGATCTGGGGCGAGAAGACGCTGTGATCAGACACACGTGGGTGGGCGGGCGGCGGCCCCCCGCCCCCGCTGTGGGAACACTCACCCCTGCCATCTGCAGAGCCTTCTGGGTGGCCCCGTGCAGCACGAAGGTCCCCTGGTCGTCCAGGTTGGTGGAGGCCAGTGAGACCATCAGGGTGACTTGCCAGCAGAGGACAAGATGGCATACTCTGCCAAGGCCTGCAGAGCCACGCAGGTGTCCTGGGGGTGGAAGAGGACCAGGTTGGCCAGCAGTCTCCAGTCCCAGGGGGTCTGGCTTCAGCAAGGGGCACCATGGACCCTCTGTGGAGGCCAGAGACACACACACAGGGGACAGAGAGCAGATCTGGTGCAGGTGCCCATGGAGCCGGGGCCCCAGACAGCGGGCCGGCATCTCCGTGGAGACAGGGGCTGGGTCCCTGGTCCCAGAGCCAAGTACATTTGTCCCTCGGGCCTCCGCTTGGACTCCATGTCCCCAGAGGCTGCAGGCAAGGAATCTTCCTGGGACTTGGAGCACCACCGGCTTCCTGGCCAGTTCTGAGCCCTAAGCCTGCACGGCGGTGGCCCTGCCTGGACTCAAGCACCCCCCGCTGGCCCTGCCCAGCTCGCCTGAGTGGAGGAGAAGCCCCCGAGAGCGTTCCGCTGCTGGGACAGCCACTTCACCACGGGCAGGGCCGTGGCCACGTCACCCAGGAGGGTGTAGTCAGCAGGGCGTAGGCCGCCCGTTCCATCTCTGCCGAGATCACTGCAACGGAAGAGGCGGCTGCAGCCCTTTGAACGCCAGGACCCAAAACCCAGCGCCCAAGGCAGGCAGTGGGGCGGGCCTGCAGCACATGCCGGTGAGACCCTGCCACGGGAGCTCGGGAAGGTGTCCTTGTTCCCGTCTGGGGACCCCGTCAGGCTCCAGTGGGTGACCCCATCTGCAAGGCCAGGCCGGTGAGGGGCCACACGCGCAGTGTTCAGCCTGGCATCCCATGGCATGAGCCAGGGCACGTGGTTTCAAAAAGGGACCCCAAGGCTAGGCCCCAGGGGAGGAGGGTCCAGGTGGAGACGGGTGGGGCAGGAAGGGCCTGAGGGGCTGCCTCAGGCCTGCAACGGGGGGACGGCCCAGCCCCTCCTGCACCCCTGGCAGACAACGCTCCTCAATGGCCTCCCGCCTGGCTAAGCCCCTGACGTGTCCCCAAGTGTTCCCACTCAGCGCCCATGAAGTCTCTCCCACATGCAAAGGCTCATGGGGGCTGTAAAAGGCCCTCAGCTCAGAGGGCGCCGGCCCCTCCATCCCCATCCTGAGCATTTAGACCCAAATAGGCACCATCATCCCGTTGGTTGGCTTCAGAGTTTTCCTTTCTAACTTTTTTTCCCCTAAGTAGTGAAAACAACTTCTCAGGCGATGACTTAAGCAGAAAAGCTGGAATGGAAGCTCAGTCCCAGCGCAGTGGCCAGGACTATGGCAGGAAATGGGGGTCAGGGCAGGGAGGTGGGGGCAGGGGCTCAGTTTGGGGGCACTCAGAGAAGTCACAGCTCGGTGAGTGGGGCTCCCTGGGCACAATGGGTAGTCATTTTGTAGCTGGGGAGATGGACGCCCTGAAGACAGAAAGGCTTCCTGAAGCTCACCCAGTGGCGGGGCCAGGGTGAGGACCAGCAGCTGCCCTGCCCCGACCCCCGGCACCCTGCCGGGGTGGTTTATGGAAGCCTGGGGGACCCTGTGCGGGGGGTCCCTAAGCAGTGTCCTCCCGGGCTGCGGGGCGTCAGTGTTCCCCATTTCACGGGGAAGACAGTGATGCTTAGGCTTAAACCACGTCATCAAATGAAGCCACTAGGAGATGCGAGGATGAATGAGAATGTAATAAACAACAGAAAGTGACCAAAAGACGCTTTCTTACTCTACACATGTGTTCATGAACTACTTCCTAGGCCCCACCCTGTGGCCTCTGGGGGGGCAGGCAGGTGACATCTACCCTGCGTGATGGACAGGCTGCGTAGCTTCCGCAGGGCCGCGGGGTCCGTGGGGCAGGGCCAGCGCGGAGGCAGTCAGGGCGCTGATGTAGGGATCCGAGGCCAGGGCAACACTAGACTCCAGGAAGGGCTGCGCTCGGGCAATGGCGTCCCTTTCCTCCTGGGGTGGGTGGAAAGTGGAGGCCTGGGAGGCCACTCTGCCCCGACCCGCCACCCACCACGCCCACCTGCAGGTTTCCCCAGCGTGTGCGCCCTGCGGGGGGAGGGCACTGGCTGGCTCGCAGCCCCTCACAGCGTATCCTTCCAGTGTTTCCATTGCCTACAGCTCCGGTTTTCAAAACCCCATCCCCCTTCTTTCATGTTGGCACTTGGCACCAACTTTTTCCAAATGAAGTCTGAGCACAGCAGATCAATCCAGGGAGGCTCTGGGAAAAGAGGCAGAGTCCACGCCGCCCCCACCCCACCCCCAATTCACCAACTCATCCCCCAGCTGGCTTCTCAGCCTCGCTGCCCAGGCTCTTCTCATCCTCCAGGCCTCAAATCAATTGTTGCTCCCTCTGGGAAGTCCACCAATCCTGAGCACACTCAATGCTGTTGAAGTGTGTGCTGCTGGAGGGCAGAGACCCAGTCCATCGTCCAGTGATGGGCTAGGTCCGGGGAAACTGCCCAGTAACAATGGTTACATGGAGAAATGAGTGATTAGAAGCATTAACACACTTAGCAAACGAGCAGTGGTGTCCCTGTGGGGGAGCAAAAGCTAAGATGACTCTGCTCTGATGTCGTGGACATTGCAGAGCTACCTCTCCCAAAGCTTCCCACCGTTCGACCAGGACGAAGCATGGGAACTGCTGCACAGGCGTGGGGTCCAGGCGTGCCCTGTACCTCCTGGCGTCTGTGCCAGGGACGGCGCAGCGGGCGGTGCAGGCCCCAGGCCCACGCAGGCCTGCAGGGGCGATCGCTCGCTTGTTCCTTCCTCCAGCCTGACCTCCCAGGCCCCCTGCACACCTCCAAGGCCGCGTCCGTTTCCAGAAGTGCAGGCACCACGTAGGCCGTCAGCAGGACTGTGCCATGGATTCCACCCTGCGAGAGGATTCTCGGGTTTCACCCCGAGCCAGAGGGGACGGCCCCCACCGCACGGGCACCAGGCAGCACCAGAACAGAGCCAAGACACCGAAAGGAGACCTGGGTGGCTGCTCACCTGGATGTTCTTGTTCAGAATCCTGCCTATGGCTGGGAAGGAGCCGTCTGCCTGCTGCCGCCGAACGATCCAGCTCTTGGCAGCTGCCAGCTCCCGCGGGTCGATGAAGATAAAGCTCCTGCCTGGGCAAAGGACTTCAGGACAAAGGCTGTGAGCCTGAGACCGGACCGTGGGGATTGGGGGTTGCAGAACAGGGTCACCTCCCCTGCGTGCCATCAGGGACTGTGGCATGCTCCCCAAGTGACCCCAAGCCTCCACTTCCCCATCTGTTTGACAGGTGAGTCCATCTGCCCTTGCAGGGCTGTTGGGAGCACGACCTGCAAGGCTGTTGTGATAGAATGTGGCCCGCTTATCTCTGAGTGCTGAGCGCCCGGGGTCTCTCCTCAGAGGAAGCCCCTAGATACCCCCAATCTGGGCGGGTGCCTCTGGACCCCCATTGGACCCTCCACCACCCTACCTCTGTCACTGTCATCCGTTCTGGGCTTCAGGCCACCCCCTGGCTCCGATCTGCCAGGCCCGCCCTGCCCCACCGCTTGTTCTGCACGCAGCAGCCAGAGGGAAATCTTAAGGCCTGTGAGCGGCTGGGACGTGGGGCCAAGATGGAAGGCAGCTGCCGCGGTGCTGAGAACTGCAACATAGCTCTCTTCACTTTTCCACTTTAAAAACGCCAACAGGGACAAACAAACTGGCATATCCCTATGTTAGGACATAAAGAAATGAGCTATCAAGCCATGATGCGACGTGAAGGAACATGAAGCGCCCTCGCCTGCCCCAAGCCCCAGGGGACCTGTGGGGGCTGCCCTGGCCCCGGCTTGGGCAGGGTCCACACACTCAGGCGAGGACCCCACCGAGAGAAACCAGGAAATTCTGTAGGGAATCTAGGGAACCGAACCCTGACCGGTGGTCCAGGTGCGACATGGCTTACCTCGACGGTCACACTGCGCCCGATGTGGTCCCTCCCAACGGGGACCCTCCTGTCAGCGTAAGTCTCCTGTGTGTGTCTGACGGGCCTCCCTTCCTGGCAGCAGCTTGCTTCTCCATAAGTGAGGGCTCTGGCTGCAGGGATTTGAGGGCTCAATGCTGCTCTTGGCATGGGGAGTGGTCCTGCTCCCCTTGTACCAGATGTGCATGTGTGAAAGTTGTGTGTTGTGCATGTGAGTATGCACACATATCTGTGCATGTGTATATGTGCACTTGTGGGTGCGTGTGTGTATGCATGTGCACACACATGTACGTTACATTGGTTTGGCGCCGTAGCCTGGCTTTAGCAGGTAAGGCCTCAGGCCCCACCCTCAGGCCGGCCATCTCCTCCTATCTCCTGACCATTTCCTCTGGCCCGCTTCCCCAGCTGCCACCCTGTCCCCCAAGATGGCCCTCGCCTCACCTGCTGTCCTCCCACCCCTCGCCCGTGCCTGCAGTCAGCGCCCGGGCCCCCTGGTGGCCTGCTGGGGTCGCCCAAAGAAGAATAGGACCCTCACCAGTGATGTTGCTGAGGCCCAGGTCGCTGAAGGACAGGACCACCCAGCCGGGCTCAGTCTCCCCAGAAGCCACACACATCTCCTTGGTCAGATGATGTTTGCCGGGGTGCTCGACAAACCAGATGCCCTTGGGAACGGAGATCTTCACGTACAGCGGCAGAAGGTGGCGTGCGCTCTTGGTGCTGGAAGTCCGTGCGTCCTCCCAGCACAGCCCTCCACCCCCAGCCACCATCAGCCCAGCCGGCCGCTCCAAAGCCGTGCCCTCCTTACCAGCCCCCGTCAGAACAATACTTACCATTGTTCTGCTGGGAACCCCCCCGCCTCAGCTCCCCACACCCCACAGGCCCAGTCTCCCCTCAGGACCAAGGCCAGTTCAAGGGCAACCTCTCCACATCCACCCTGCAGCACCGGAAGACGAACTGCCCTCTGCAGGCCCCACAGAGCATGTCCTCTGACCGTCCTCCGACCACTAGGTCTACGGCATCACACCAGAGCGCAGAGTGTGCGTGCGTGGGCACACATGTGTCTCTGTGCACGTGTGTTTATAACCCCCACTCTAGAACAGGCTCTTGGCTCCACATCTGTTTGTCCACCCAACACACAGGAAGCACCCAAGGATTGCAGGCGCCCTGCTCAGAGCTGAGGGCCAGGCGCTGAGTGTAGCACTGAGCCTGCGGGGTGAGTGCACCGCTGAGCCCTCGCGCCCAGTTTACAGGCGGCAAAGCGGAGGCAGCACGAGCCGGTGACTTAGCCAAGCCAAAGCCTCAAGAGCCTTCTGAGGACAGTGTGTGGAGACCTTCAGGTGACAAATTCCAACCACTCCCTCGCCAAATGTCCCCATTTTTCAGAAAAAGCCAGAGATCTGTTTTTTGGGGATAAAAATCTCTTGGCGTCCACAATGACTCTCGTTTGGGGCTGCCACTCATGTCTTCTGTCCTCAGCGTGAAAGGAGCCAGAGGCCCTGGGGGTCCCTGTGCATGTGGGCAGGGCCAGGAGAAGGACAAGCATATCCCCCACGCCCAGCTGGCCAGGGTGAGGCTGACACCTGCGGCCGGGGCTCTGGGCCACCCTGCAGAGAGCGGCAGGCCTGCTCCCAGCTGGGCCCCTGGCCCGGGCCCACTGACCTCTCTGCCCCAGCCCCGGGCCATAATCCCTGCCCCTGACAGCCGCCCCTGACCACGGGGAGCCCCTCCCCGCTCCCTTCCTCTCACCCACCAGCGGACATGGGTTTCAAAGCTGACAAAGATCAGGGAGCACAGGTGTCCCTGGTCTCCCCGAGCTGCACCAAAGCACAGCCCCTAAAATGCCCCTTCCTCATTGTGCCCCCTCTTGATCTTGATCCTCGTGGGTCCCTCCACGTCGCCTGCCTCCCTCTATGTCACCAGGTTCTGAAACCGCCCCAGCCTCCAAGGTCAGCCTCCTCCAGAGCAGCTGTTATGGGTTGCACTGTGTACCCCAAAAAGATATGTTGAAGTCCTGAGCCCCACTCGCTGCAAATACGGCCTTATTTGGAAATAGGGTTATCAAGTTACAATGAGGTCTTAGCGTGGACCCTAATCCAACATGACTGCCTTCCTTTCTTATAGGAGAAAATACGGACACAGACATTCACAGAGGGAAGGTGGGGACAGACAAGAGGCAGAGATGGGGGCGTCGCAGCTGCAAGCAGAAGGAGCACCAAGGGTTACGGCAGCTCCCAAAGCGGGGAAACCATGGGACACTCCCTCGGAGCCTCCAGAAGGAGCCAACTCTGCCCCCACCTTGACCTTGCACTCTGGCCTCCGGAGCTGTGAGAGGACACGCTTCTGTTGTTTTAGGTCCCCCAGTTTGTGCCCCTTGGTTCTGGCCGCTACAAGAAACTGGTATAGAAGCCTTTTCCATTTCCTCCAACAGGGAGCTGCGGCCCCCACGTCACAGCCCCGAAAGGTGGTAGAAGAATAACATTCTGCAACACATGGAAATGATATGAAATCCAAATTTCAACATCCAGAAATAAAGATTTGCGGGCACACAGCCTTGCCCATTCGGGTGCGTGTCATTGGCTGGCTCCCCCTCTCCGGCAGCTGAAGTGAGACCAGTAGCTGTGACAGAGGCTACCTGGTTGCCTCGGACTGAAACATTTGCCCTCTGGCCCTTTACAGAGAAGCTGCACCGTCCCCTGCGCCATGCCATTACATGCGACACCTGTAGGCCAGGAGTCAGGGATGTAGGCTCCATCACATCTGCCACCCCCACCTTGCCATGCACACCCCCACCCCCCCGCGCCAGCCACGCCCAGGCTTAGAGGCTGGGGAATTAGAAGCTGATCCCATGCCTCTGCCTCTTCAATAACTCAGATGCCGTGCCCCATCGTTCCCTGGTCTGCTCCCCCAAACCAAAGACGCTGTCCCCACGGCCGCCCCAGGGCGACCCCATCTCCCACACCTCCCCAGTATCACAGACGCTCACCCCATGGTCCCTTCTCACCCCAGCCTCCCTGACAGCCAAGACGCTACGCCCCCTGTGGCTCCCCAGGGTGACCCCAGCCCCCCAGCTGCTGACACCGCGGGTGCCGCCCCTACAGCGAAAAAGGCCGTGTGGGGTGTGGCTTCAGGACCTCAGGGCAGGTGCCCAAGTAGTTGTAGATGCTCAGCGGGACCTTGACCTGCTCCCCGCGGACCACGTGGTGGGGCAGCATGAAGTCCACAAAGAAGGGCTTGAAGGTCTTCAGCAGGGAGGGCTTGGCGATGCCCGGGCCCTGTGCAGAGGACAGACCCACAGCCTCGCCCACCCAGCTGGTGATGGAGTCAGGGACCTGGACACTGAATGTCTCCTCACCAGACAGGTCGCTGCAGAAAGATGGACAACTGTGGACCCTTCTCCAGGGCCACGCCTAGCAGCTGGGTGGGAACAGATGACGTGGCCACGTGGCCTAGGGGCTCAGGGAGGTGCCCCTGAAGCCTGGAAATAAGCACTGAAGGCACCACGGAGCGTGTGACAGCAAGAGGCCCTCCCCGTGCCCTGACTCGCTGTAATCAGAAACATGAATGGCTCCCAGGATGACTGTGGACACAGGCCCCCCAAAATACGGGTCCAGGGGTACGAACTTTAGCAGCGCATGCCCTGCCCAGTGTAGGGGAGAAAGATGCTGAATCGAGGGGCCCAGTTCCTTAGGGCATGCTTGTGAATCCCAGGCAGGCATGTCCACGTCCTGACCCCTGGCACCTGGGAATGTGGCCTTATTTGGGAATGGCTCTTCGCAGATGTAACTAGTTAAAAGAAGGTCACGCTGGAGTAGGACGGTCCCTAATCAAAAGACAGCTGTCCTTACAGAAGGGAAGTTCTTATACAGAGGGAAAAGGCCACATGAAGACAAGACAGACACACCAGCAGGAGGACAAGGGAGACAGAGGCAGAGACCAGAGTGATGCTGCCACAAGCCAAGGACGCCAGAGCCCCCAGAAGCTGGGAGAGACAACAAAGGACCCTCTGGAGGGTGCTCAGCCTTGCCGACACCTTGATTTCAGACTTCTGGCCACCACAACTGGGAGAGAATAAGTTTCTATTGTTTTAAGTCCCTTACTTCAGGATCATTTATCATGGCAGGCCCAGGAAACTGATAGAGTACCCCCAACAAAAAAGGAAGAAAGAACATAAAGAATGTAAAGTGCCTTTCAATAATTTTTCAGCTGGCTACATGAATCAACAATATTGTGGATATACATAAAATATGTAATTCAAGTGAACTCCTCTTGTTTCTATTCAGCCTTTTTGACACGGCCTACATGCCAGACAGCACTGCTCACGAAACACACCAGATTCCCCCTGCCCCTGCCACTGGCACATTGATCGCCCAATGGCTCTGGGGACAAACTCTGTTACCTCCTTTGGATTTCCAGGATATCCCTTTGAGATCTGTCTTAGCATTTGGTGCAAAAGTGCTCGTTGGAAAACAAAACCTGCAACCTGAAAAGCTGTCCAAGGATTGAAGCGGGAATCACCCGTGGCCGGGCAGGGGGCCGGGCTGCGGCTGCTCACCTGCCCGCCGGCCTCCGTCCGCCTCCGGGAGCCTGAGCCAGGCGGGCCTCCCTGGGCAGCCTGACACCCCAGGCTCCAGCACGCAGGGACCACATGGTGCGTCAGTTCCCGCAGTAGCTGCGGCATCTACCGTCCTCCCGGTAAGGGCCACACGCTGCCGTCCCCGCCACGACTCAAACTCAGCCTCTTCCCACGCGGCAGAACTTTCAGGGCTCCCTATGGCCACAGGCAACACCCCGAATCTCAAGTCTCTAGTCCCTGGTCGCAGCCCTCGGGCTCTCCACACCCCCCACCACAGCCCAAGCGCCTTCACGCCCCCGACCCCTCGTCCCGGCCCCTCCCAGCGCACTGCAGCCTTGTGGAACCCTCCAGCCTCTCCCACGCCCCGCTCCTGCCCGTGCTGGTCCTTCCCTCTGTGCACCCTTCCCTTTCCTGTGCGGCCACCTCGGGGGCTGCAGCGGGGGCTCCATCGCCTAGGAGCCACTCCAGCTTCTCCGAAGGCTCCCTCTCCTGCCTCTTGAGCCCCTCGTCCAGCCTGCCACAAGAACACCAATGCCACTAAAGTAGGAAGCCTCTCAGGGTGTAAATCGTACACTCTGTAAGTGAGGGAGCCCTGCCTACCTCGTTCAAGACACCATTCCTGGCACCGAAAATAGTACCTGTCGCCCAGAAAGCAGATATATTTGAATGGTCATGGCCACACAGCCCAGCTTGAACTAGAGCCCCGGAGCAAAATGCAACCATCTGGCTCTATTCTGACCAGGAGTTACGCCTTCCCGCAATGGGGGCACACATCTGTGGAAACAGCCGAGGGAGCCCCGGTGCGGGGCTCGGCTCTGTGTGGGGCGCACGCCATGTGCCTTGTGGCGCCTCGTGCCCGGCAGGGGGACCTGGCTCAGACGTGGGCCCACCTGAGGGCCCGGGGCCTGAGCTTTCATGCCTCACTGGTTCCTCAGGGTAGGCCCCCACTTCCTTCCATTGGTGTTCTCACACTGAGCACCAAAAAACAACCCCCAACTGCACCTGGCAGGAATTTGGCAGGGCACCGTGGCTTCGAGGAGAACTACAAGGAGGAAAATGTGCTGAGAAAAGCAGCCTGGGTTTCGGTCAGCAGTGCGAGTCCCCTGAGGAGTGAGGGGGAGGAGGATGGGGTCGACTTCATGTTCCAGGGACTGGTAATCGTTTTAATGAGCTCGTTATGCAAGCAGAGCGGATGAGTTACCCCAAAAGGGAGTCGTAAGAGGCGCAAAACCCCCGCATTTTATATTTCGTGGGTGGATATCCCGAGCTGAAGGGGGTTCAGGGTTGACTTCATGGCTTTGGATTTTATGTGTTAGAAAAAGGTGCCCAGCATCTTACTCCGGTGTGGGCGTCAGAGCTGCAGGCAAATCCACTGGGGACAACTGGACTCAAGACGAGTGCCTCAGAGTCAGCCCGCAAAGACGGCGGAGGAAAGGAGGCTTGCTGTACCCAACGTTCAGATAGTGCCAAATCCATGTTTCCAGAAAGAAGGTCCTTTTCCTCTTCTCTGCTCTGTGAAAAAATTTTTTAAGAAAATAAGTGATTAAATTTTCATGGACATAACTTAATTCTGTTACCTCAAAGGTTAACGTTCTACTCAATTAGGACATAAAGTGTTAAGTCAGTTCACTTGTCAGTTAACACTCGATTCAATTAGGATATAAAATGTCAAGTCTTTTGCCCTGGCTGGGGTGGCCCAGTTGGTTGGGTGTCATCCCACAAACCAAAAAGATCACCGGTTCAATTCCCAGGCAGACCCCGTGGCTGAGTTGAAGGTCTGGTCCCCAGTCGGGGTGCATACGGAAGGCGGCCAATTGATGTTTCTTTCTTACATCCATGTTCCTTTCCCTCTCTTTCTCCCTCCCTTCCCCTCTCTCTAAGATAAAAAAGTTTTTTAAAATTTAAGTAAAATATTAATTATTTTACCTGGAAGGGTTTACATTCTACTTGATTAGGACCAAAAGTGAGGTATGAAAAGCTTGACAGAGCCACCTTGAAATGATGCTTCGTGTGCTGAATTTAGAAGATATGAGGGGCCGCAGGGACTACCTCTCGCCCTCCCTTTGCTAAGCCCCCTCCCCGGGGTTTGCCGCGGTTTTCTGCACCATCGCACGAAGACCTTGGCCGCTCCCCCGTCCCATTTCATAGAGCACCTTCATTCTTGGTCCACCCTCGGAAGCCTCGCAGCCCCCCTTCCCTGGGGGCTGTCGCTTCGCTTAAAAACAATAATAAGTCTGACTCAAAAGTTAGTGAAACCTCTCAAAATTAAAAATGGTCACATTCTTTCAACCTGTGATACCTCTCCTAGAAACGCACCCTGGAAATGCCCAGAGACGCCTGTGCAAAGGACAGGCAGGCAGAGTAGTTCACAGCAGCCCTGTGAGAATTAGCAAACAGCCGAAATCTCCATCCGTAGGGGGGCTGGGTAATCACATGACAGTACATTCATACAGTGGAATAGCGTCATCAGGGAAAAGAGGTAAGCATATACCGTATGTACTCATACGGAATATCTGCGAGAGTTATTGTTGACTTTAAAAAGACACAAAACAGCATTATAATCTTCTCCCATTTAGGTTTTTTAAAAATCCTTATATATGCACAAAAAATGTGTAAGTCCTTGTATATGCACAAAAATATTTCTAGAAGGACATCTAAGAAATTACTGATGATGGTTGCTGATAACAAGGGACTGGATGCTGTGGAGGTGGGCAACTTCTGCTTTGTTACATAATTGTTCCCACTGTTTGAAACATGCACACGGCTAAGAAAAATACCTTGTCCTTGGAATAAGAATATTATCCAATTACAAAAAGGCACAGATGCCTGCCTTTTACAGGCATTTTTTTGTGCCTTTCTGCATGAGCCTTACAGTTGCCTTTGTGGCTTCGGGGGTCCTGTACCCACTCCAGGCCAAGTTCCCAGGGCCCTGGGGCAGTGGCCGACTGGTGTCGGCTGAGGGGCCAGTATTCCACCTCCCTCACCCAGCCTAGAAATGCCTCTGTGTGCGTCCAGACTACCGTAGGAGGAGCCTGGTCTGCCCATGCCCCGATTTGGAATTTGGAAACTAAGGCCCTTGTGGGCCTGCCCCACTCCTGCTAAATGTTCGGCCCAGGTAGGAAGAACCCAGGGGACCCAGGTACCCTGGAGCCACTGCAGAGGGGACTGGGAGATTGGGAACACTCTCGATCTGGGCAGAGAAAGCTTAAAAGGTGAAGAGGGCTTTCATGGACAGGCCCACCAGGGCAGAAGGTCCTCTGGCCCATTTCTGGTTCAAGGCAAGGGCTAAGGAGTCTGGAGCCCATCCTCAGGTTTCTGGAGAGACCTAGATACTGCAGGACTGTTAACTACACTGACCCCATTCCTGGCCCCCTTGGTTCTGCTCCCTCTCTTAGAGGAGTGGGTAGGAAAGAGAACATCCAAGGCTTGCATCCCCTTCCCTGGATCATGTGCCTTAAATCCAAAGAGAGTGGGTGGGGGCAAAGTCTTCAGAGTACCCTTCCCCTTCCCAGGCTGGTTGGCTGAGACCTGTGATGGAGGAACTAGTGGCAGAGGCAGAGGAATGAAGTGGGTGGGAGAAAAAGGAGGTGGGCAGTCGGGGAGCAGAAGAGAGGGGAAAACAGGAGAGAGGAGAAAACATCACCTTCTAAAAAAATAAAAGGTTTCCATGAGTCCAGGGACAAAGCCACAAATCTGAGGGGCAGATGTGAACTCTTCTCTCTCAGTAATTGATAAATTAGCAAACAAACAAACAAAAAATGAGTAAGGATATGGAGGATCTGGGTATCACACGCTTTGACTGAAAGTATACATGGAGAGCCCCATACCCAATGATGGCGGTTTTAGATATTCAAATAGACATGAGCATTTACAAACACTGGCAATGTAGTCCCCAAAATAAAAACCAGACAATGAATATTATACAGACCATGCTCATTGGATATTATGCACATTTGAAACAAGTTGACAAAACACATTAAAAATCATTTGAAAATTTAAAACACTTCTGGACAAGCTACAGCTCAGAAACAGAATATTCTGAGCTATAATGAAAACACTTCAAAGCACAACTCAGGTGCAGCCAAAGCAGTACTCTGAGGGAAATTCATAGCCTTCAAAAGGCTTAAATATTTAAAGTCAAAATAAAAAAGACTTGAAAGTAATTATTTGGTGTCCAACTTAAGAAGGAAGAGAGTTTGAGGGGAAGTAGGAAGAGAGAGAAAGAGAACCAGGAGGGAAGTGAAAGGGTAATAGAATTTTCTCAGCAGAATCTCTGGAAGCTCCTGCTTCCCTCCCGGCCCTGATCCTTCTGTCCTCAGGCAGGTCTGCTTCCCTGATGGACCTTCCTCTCTGCACCCTCAACCTGTGCACTGGGGTGGGGCCAAGTACTGGGCAGGGCCGGGCTGAGTGCTCAGTGCCCCAGCCCACTAAGCCAGTGGTGATTTTGTCCCCAAGAGGACATTAGATGATGTCTGAAGACATTTTTGTTTGTTACCATAGGGAAATTGGTGGTATTGGCATTTAATAGGCGGAGGACATGGATGCTATTCAACACCATACAGTGCATGGGACAGCCCCACCACAGAGAACGATCTAGCCCCAGCCTCAGACATCAACAGAGTGGAGTTAGAGAACCCTGGTCAAAGCAGCAGCAATTACCTGGGAGGTTGCCTGGAAGATGCCACTGCCACCAGGCTCCCTGTGTGGGGCTAGAAGGCAGGGACAGCCTCGTCGGTGTATCGGCCACCATCCTGCCAGTGGTTCAGGCTCACTACGTCAGTCATCACCACCAGTCCGGTTTCCCAGGCAACAGACAACATCCAGACTCACGGTGAGGAAGCAGATGTGACGTCCCCAACAGTTCTCAACACCCTGGGGCCCCTGGGTCGACATTGCTGCTGTCTCATGGCCCTGCTCTCCGAATTTGGTGACATAGATTGATGGTCACCAAATTTGGTGCTCATGGCACCCAGTGACCATTCAGGGCAGAGTAGAGGGAAGGCCAATACATTTGTGGCTCAGACAAAAAAGGCCACATGTTGTGGCCATGATTCCATTTAAATAAAATATCCAGAACAGGCAAATCCATAGAGACAGAAAGCAGATGGGTGGTGGCCAGGGGCTGGGGGAGGGGAAATGCTAATGAAGACGGGGTTTTCTTTTTGGGGTGATGGAAATGTTTTGGAACTAGACTGAGGTGGTGGTTGCACAACATTGCAAATATACTAAATGCCACTGAACTGTTCACTTTAAAATGAGTTATTTTTCTGTTGTGAGAATTTCACCTCCATTTTTTAAAAAACCAATTGTTGCAGTACCTGATCCAGATGAAGGGCCAATGGCTGTGGGAAGCAATTATTACTGTTATAATTATCTCATCGCTCTGCTAATTATTGGGGACAACTGGATTGAGGAGAAGGCCCATCTAGATTGCCTGACTCTGCTTTGTGAATAGGAATTTAAAACCTAATTACTTTAGCCCTGGCTGGTGGGGCTCAGCAGACTGAGCACTGGTGTGCGAACTGAAAGGTGCTGGTTCGATTCCCAAGCAGGGCACATGCCTGGGTTGCGGGCCAGGTCACCAGTAGGCAGCGTGGTGAAACAATCAATCAATGTTTCTCTCACACATCGATGTTTCTCTCCCTCTCTTTCTCCCTCCCTGCCCCTCTCTCTAAAATAAATAAATAAATAATAAAATAAAAAAACAAAAACAAAAAACCTAGTTACTTTGACCCAGAAACAGCAAAAGCTGAGAGGACCCAGAGGTTCAAACTGCAAGGCATTCAACAAACACATACCTGAAATATCATTTGTTTCAAGATATGTAATAAATATATTTTAGCTAATATAGCAAAATAAGCCATTGGTTCAAATACATACTCTGTTTTATATGTATAATTTTTAAGCTAATATAGCAAAATGTTAATTGTAAGATCTAGGTAGTAGGTATACAAGTGTTTATAAATTTGTTCAACTCTTCCATGTGCATGAAAAATTCCATAGTAAAAAAGGTGGGGGGTGCCTTTGATTTTAAAACAAGGATGAAAAGCACCTTCAGGTGGGACATGCACGTGAGCGGAGCCCACCAGCCCGCCCACGTGGGCTCCCAGCATGACCCAGGCTGACACTTGTGCATACTGCAGCTGCTGACCGCCCCCCACCCTTGTAACAAGGAAGGAGTGGGACAGACGGACGGATGGACAGTCAGGAGCTACAAATGTCATCACAAGTAAAACTGCCAGGGGAACCCACAGTCACCTGCTCCCATCGTCAAAGTTTTCCTTCCAACAAAGCACCGGAACATCATTGCTCCCTACCGAGGTCAAGTTGTCAGTTCACAGGGATAACATTCTACTCTCATCTGCTTTGCACCTCAGGAGGGTCCGCTTATGAGCTTGCATTGGGGAGAATCACAAATGAATTCTGCAGCAATAAAAGCTTGGAAGCTTCCACCCCCACCCATCTCCGTGTCTCCAAGACCCTTCGTTTCAAAATGAGAGGAGTATGGAAGTGGGCAGTGGGCGCCGAGACCACCTCTCCTTACGGTGAAGGCAAACCCGGAGTCCTTGGTGACGCCCCAGGGCCACTGGAAGACGGAACGCCGGCCTCGTCGGGAGGTCAGCCCAGCCCACCAAGGAGGGTGTGTCCTCCCGCAACACCCCAAAGGCATCAGAAACATCGTAATCTTCCAATTCCTGGAAAACCTACAGGTAAGGGGACAGTGAGGAGTGGTCAGCTGAGGGTTTCCTGTCATCCCAAACTGGCCCTCATGGGTCTGGTGTGCCCCTGTCTCAGCCTCCTTTCACATCCATCCCTGGGACACAACCTTAGGAGACAGGCATTGCTGGTGTTAAAAACGATACAAACAGAGCCACCTGAAAATGGAGCCGGAGTTGCCATCCCAGACACACTGCCCTGCACGTCCCAGGCCTCAGACCTTTGGAATATCACAACCGGGCAAAATAACTTCTCAGCTGGGCCGAAAGCAACCTCGCGCCCCAAAGAAATGTTTGCAAAGATAAGAAAGCAGTTATTACGACCACTGGACTGGTGACTACTAGCCTGAAAAAATTTTAAAACTGTTTAGAATCTGCCCACCGGATGCCAGTAGCAACCCCACCACCGTCGTGACACCCATAAATGTTGCCAGACATCGCCAAACGTCACGGAGGGCAAGGGGCAAACACACCCCGCCCCCCCATGGGAAATGCTGCTGTAGGATAAGGGTCCTGCCACGGACCTCTGTGCCCAGAACTAATGACACAGCCGCTGGGAGAGGACCCGCCTCAGACTTGAGTCTATCGCTGGGAGAGGGCGCATTGTAATTAAGAGTGATTCTCAGTGTAGTCCATTCATTCGGGGACTCCTCTGAGCATCTGGTAAAAGTTAAGGACTAGCTAACTCAATAAATGCCTACAATTTCAGAGCTTCCAAACCCCTAGAAATCCAAGGACTCTGGCTTAAAAACCCACGTCAGAGAATTACCTACAGTGTAGTTTGGTAAGCAAAATAATTTTAAAATAACAATATTCAATGCCAACAAGGCTGTGGGAAACTGGGTCTCTTAACGCACGGCAGGCGGTGCTCTGTGCGGGCACTGCCGTGTCTTCTAAAACAGCAGGACCAAGCAAGAGCCCGGGTCCTGCCCTGGTGATTCTCTGAGTTCAGCCGAAGGTGGGCACGCAGGATGCTGACTGAGCTGTAGACACAAAGATGCTGGCCACTTTTGGGTGACAGTGTCAAAACCCTGAGAGCAATTTTTTAAAATCTAAGCATGTACAAGGTGAGAGCTTAGGAAACTAGTGCAGTTGACCCTTGAACAACATGGGTTTGAAGTGCAGATTTTTTTCAATAAACACTGTTGGCCTTCCATATCCATGGGTTTCGCATTTGTGGATTCCACCAACCACTGGATAAAAACAGAACTTTTCTGTTTTTGTTTTTTTTTCCTCCTCACCCAAGGATATGTTTATTGATTTTAGAGAGAGAGAAACATGGGCATGAGAGAGAAATATCAATTGGTTGCCTCCCGTACGCACCCCCACTGGCAAACAAACCCACAGCCTAGGTTTGTGCCCTCACTGGGGATCAAACCCACAACCTTTTGGTGTACAAGACAAGGCCCCAACCAACTGAACCACACTGGCCAGGGCCGAAAACAGCATTTTTGATTCATGGTTGGGAACCCACAGAAGCAGAAGGCCAACTGTACACATTATTCTATAAAATTTTATATAAGGGATTGAGCATCCCAGGATTTTGGTGTCTGCAGGGAGTCCTGGAACCAATCCTCCTTGAATACCAAGGGCTGACTGCAGTTAAGTTTCTGGGGAGTCAAATTCTTACTTCAAATTTTACTGTAAAAATCTGCAAATCTTACATGCAGATTTTTGACTGCATGCGGGGTGTTGGTGACAGTAACCCCCTCATTGTTCAAGGACCAACTGTATATAAAAGTGGTGTAGCAGGATGTTGTTTACATCAGGATGCGAACTACAATTATAGAGACTTGGAAACATGGAAGTATGTTTATACAGTGTGTTTAGAGAGGAAAAAAACCCCAGGATACATCATGGTGTAGACCCTTTAATTGCAACTATGAAAGAAAATGTCTTCATGTAGCCTAGGAGTTGCAGGAAACGTGAAAAATATGAGGAAGGGGGTGATGGGTGGCTTTTCTCCTTTTCTAAATTTTTTCCACATCATTCATCTTTTACATTAATGTTAATGACTTTTCTCGAAACACACGTGACATCTCTTGTTCCATTTTAATTTGATTCTTTATTTCCAAGGTAGGGTTTATGATTTTAAAAAATCCACAACTTACCTTGAGTTTGATTGTCCCTTTACCTAAAAAATGAAAAACTGCAAACGGTTAAATCGGGGGCTGTGTTGCCCCGCCCCGCCCCGCCCCGCCCCGCCGCCTTACAAACAGGGGCTTTCTCAATGCGGAGGGATCTGTGGACAAACACACACCCTGGATCACGCCGGTGTGGGCGGGCCAGGCCGGGATTGGCAGAAGTGAAAGGTTTCCTCCGAACTGGCGAGAGCTGAAGGCCAGAGGGGATGGACAGAGCCCAGCCATTCAGGGGGAAGTTGGCTGGCCTGCGTACTTGATTCACTTCACCCCTGGCCTCTGCCCAAGATAAGCTGTGAGGGCAGCAAAGAGCAAACTCCAGGGAAGAAGAACAGGGAAAGAAGAGTCTGAGGTCCCCAGTGGGCCTTGCTCGAGCGGACCCTACTGGTCTCCCGTCGCCTCCCTCTTCTACCCAAATGGAGCCATTCCAACGCCTCTCGGGGCCTCTGGTCTTCGGGCCTTATTTAGACGTCTACTGTTTCCACCTCGTAGAACCAATACCCCCATTCCTTGTGGGAAACCAGCCAGCTCCCGGTCGATGTCTTTGGTAGAGTTCTGTGCAAATCTACAGAGGCCTTCGCCCCGATCACAGTGAGTGGCTCAGGGCTGAGCACATGACCCAAGAGAGGCCCATCAGCACAGGCCTTCCCCCTGGTCACAGGGATTGGGTCAGAGTTGAGCCTAGGACCCAAGAAAGGCCACTCAGGGGCTGGGAACTCCACCAGCCCTTTCTCCAAGCTTCGAGGAGACACAGGCCCACCCAGAAGCAGGGCCAGGAGATGGCCAGTAATGTCCGTGGGCTTTTCTAGTTACGAGAGCCCCTAAAACCCTCTGTGGCTGAAACCAACCTGGGCCGGGTTGCGGGGCTGCCCGCACTCCTGCCCAGCCAAGCCCTTCCCCTGGTTTCCACACCAGGCCGGCCTCCCCATGTCCCCTCGAAGGACAGGTGCTACCCTGCTAGAACCCCAACGTCACCAGTGTGTCCCCTGCACCAGCATCGTGCTCACGCTCCACGTGAGGAATGGGTCACCTGCCGCGCAACACGGGGGCCCCTGCTCTGGCTGCCTCTGTCCAGGAGGCCAGTGCTGCTGATACCGGCCGTTTACCAAGGAGACTGTGGGAGAGGCTGGCAGGGGCCTAAGCGCCACCCAGCCGGGAGACCAAGTCTAACGCCGCACGGAGGGGAGAGGGCCAAAGCTCAATGAAAGGTCCGATGTGGCCCCCATCACACCTCTAGCCCAAGCTGACAGGGGAGGGGACCTGACTCCTTCCATTTCTGCACCCATAGAGCCTGGGCTGCCGGGAAACAAAGTACTCCCATTTCCCGTTCTGGGCAGGTGGCCGCCCCCCCGCCCCGGGCCTTTCTCTCCATCTGTGGAATGGGGAGAACTCAACCTGCCCTCTGTCTCCTGTCAGGCTGCTGGGGAGGCGGGATGGAAGGAGGCAACGCAGGGCCCACCCCGTGCAGGCCCCAAAAGCCAGCTAGATGCTCCACTGTGCAAAGGAGGACTGTCCAACACCCCAGGGACCTACCCAGGATGGCTCCATGCCACTGCCTCGCCCTGGGCCACCAGCTGAGCCTGGATGGTGACTTCCCTTGGGGAGTTAAAGATGGTCACGCTGATAACTTCTTCCACTCCCAAGCAGAAGACAGAGGGTGCAGTGATCAAATAGCCCCTGCAGGAAGAGAGAACTAAGGTGGAGGGTTGCCTGACCCACCCTTGGACTCATGCCACCCTGGCAGGGTCAGGGTGCACCCTAGACGGCCCCCCACACCCTGACCACACCCTGAAAGCACAGTCACTGTGTGCATCTGCGTCCCCCATCGACTCCGAGCTCCTGAAGAGCATGGACTGGCTTATTCGCCTCTGAAGCCTCGATTAGGTAAAAACCTGGCCTCTCTGAATCTACCCAGCACCACACTGCCCCCTCAACCTCTGCGTTCTGGCCTCGGGCCTTCTCTCTGCCGGGGGACCTCTGCGCGCGCCACACGCACAGTCTGAAATACTCTCCCCTGTAGGCCAGTGGGCAGGACTCTGCTTCACCCTCACAGCCACTCTGCGAGAAGTGTGAACATCTCCCATTTACAGGGTCAGAAATTAAACCCCGGAGAAGTCCTGTGCCTGAGTCAGGGAGAGATCAGGGTTTGAACCCAGGCAGCCAGACTCTGGAACCCAGTGGAAAGAAGCAAGGAGCTTCCCGAGGCATTCATTTTAAGAACAAAACCCTGAAAACAAACTGAATGACCTGACACAGGGAAAACCTCCGTGAACAATGGAACCAAAACAGCCCTCTCTTTCTGAAAATCCTCAGCTTGACTGTGAAGACACGTTTGGGAAAAAAGGTGTCATTCATTATCCTGCTTTCCAGGTGGGAAAGCTGCTCTCGCAGAAGGAGAAGGAATGTGCGCCAGATCGCACAGCCAGGCAGGACAGGCCCCCAGGACCACGGGCACTGGCCCACCTGCGCTCCCGCCTCCTCGTACTCTGCTCAGCTGTATCCACGGGACCTGCTCACAATGCAACCACAAGTGCCCAGGGCACCGGCGGCAAAGGCAGCACAATTCCACCCGTGCAGAACTACGGGCACCAGAAGGGAACGGGCAAAATGGAGAACTCCAAGCCAGCCCTTGAGGTTAGGAGAGATTTTCATTTCTCAAAATCTTGTCTGCCCAACATCCATGTGCAAAAAGATGCAATTAGACACTAACCCCAAATCGAACACTAAATAAATTCAATGTGGGTCGGAGATTTAAATGTAAAGCTATAAAAGCACTAGAAGAAAACGCAGGAGAAAGGCTTTGTGAACTTGTGTTAGGCAAAGATTTCATGAAGAAGACACTAAAAGCACAACCCATCAATGAAATCACTGATAAGCTGGACTTCATTAAAACTTCATGAAGAATTTGGCCTTTCAAAAGACCCAACGGGTTCCTGCTGAGTGCTCTCTGGCTGCGGCGCTGGCCCTGAGAGCCCATTGTGCTCTGTCGGGCTTGAGCAATGGCCAGAATTCATGCCCCTTGGGTTCCTATGTGTACTTTCAAATACAGGACTGACGGGAGCCTGCAAGGATCGCAGGGACTGCCGTCTACTACATGACTCCAGCGCTAATGAGAGTGTGCAAAGACCCTAATTTCGAAGGGACGCTGGCCAGGTCCAGCAATAACTGGAGCGAGTGGCCCTGGGGTCCCATGTTCTGTCCTTCTCCAGCACCAACAAATGCCTGCAAACTGGGATCCTCTGTGCAGAGCTTGGCTCCAGCTGTGCGCAGAGCGTGCATTGGTCCTGGGTATGTAACAGGCACATGCAATGACCCTGAGTTTCATGGATGTCCAGATCCACAACTGACCAGAATGTGTACTACGACTCCGGACCCTGTGTGTTCTGTGCGACTCCTGCAGCCAACACAGTGTGCGGTGATGCTGGAAATGGATATGCACCGTCTCAAGACCTTGCTTCCTACGTGATGTGTAGTATCCAACTCCAGCACTGACCAGAGGGCGCAAAGACCCTGAGCCCCCTCGTGCAGTGCTGGCCTCCGCAGCGCACAGAGCATGCGGCGATGCCGAGTACTGTGCCGCCCAGAGCACACAGTCACCCTCGGGATGTGCTGTTACTGTCTAACTCCTGCACCGACCCAGGCACACAGGGACCCTGAGTTCCTGGGTGTCCTGTCTCGCTTCTACTCTAGAATGTGGCCTCATTTAGGAAAGAGACTTTCCATCCAGCTCTCGGTTGATCCCTGGGGCCACCCGCCTAGCATGTGCTGAGTGTGGAGAAAGCATCCTGGGGATATATAGTCCATACGTTTGTTTTCCTCCGGTCACCTTTACAGGCCTTATCCAGATCTGAGTCAGCATCGTCACCCAAAGGCCCCAAGGACCCGCTCCTGCGGGTCAGGAGCTGCAACTGGTCGTGCGCTCACCAGCCGATCACAGTCAACCCTGGCATCGGAGCTGACACTGGCTCCCCATCCTTTGCACCTGGAACAGGTGGTGTTTGGTAGAGTGTAGATAGTGTTGGCCTTAAACAGTGTGCAAATCCATGCTGCTTTCTGGGGCCAGGGATTTCCCATGAAAAATAAACCACCGCACGGAGCACAATCCTCTTTTCCTAAAACAAGCTCCCTTCAAGCTGGTGGACCGAGGCTCACAGGCCAGCCGCTCTGGAACCCAAACCTGGCCACTGTGCCTCCCAGCGTGGGGGTTCCATTTCACTCAACAGTAGTAAGATCCCAGGGCTAATTTAGGGGAGCACACTGTTTAAAAATCTTCAACAAAGGGCCTTTGAACTTGGTCCTTATGAGGCAGAGTCTCTCATTTAGGGCCGTGTCGTGCTGTGTGCTGGGGGCCGATCTGTACCTGGCAGAACGTTTAGCAGCATCCCTGGCCCCTGCCCAGTAGATTCCAGCAGCGTTACCTCCCCCTGGATGTGACAGCCCCAAAAATGCCTCTGGACACTGCTGAATGACCCCAAGGGGACAAAACCTGGTTGAGAACCGATACTCTAAAAGGTGTCCCACCAGGACAAGTTTGCTGAGTTCCAACTTCACAAGGCCCAGAGAAGGGAAATCTCATCGTTCAAAGCGCAGTGTGACCTCTCACCTTCCAAACTGTCATCCCAAAGGAGCAGTGCAGCTGGAGGCAACGCCACCCACCCTGTCCCACGGGTGCCCTGTGTTCTGGGACCTCCTAAACAAGGGCTGCTTGAACAAGCCACCTCATAGCTGCCCAGCCCGACGAAACCGCTGAGCTTGAGCGGCTGGAGGCAGCCCCCCTGAACCCACAGCCTCGCGGGGCTCACCCACACTTGGCAGGTCTGGAAAAGTTCCCTCTGAAGCCCATTCATGGGAGATTCTCCTTAACAGCTAGTTAATTCACCTCCTCCCTGTGTCAACCCACCAGGAGCTCCGTAAGCAAACTTCCAGAAAAATGTGGAAGCCAAACAAACACTTCCTCCCCCCCCCCCACCACGTCCTTCCTAGGAAAAAAACGAACTCTCTCCCATTTCTCAGCCAAAACGTGCACCTCTTGCCTTAATGCCTCAGACAACTTAAAATCGCCACCCTGGACAATAGCCGCGGCCGCCTAAGGGGGCCAGGTATGGTGGGTGGGCTCCCATGCAGCCTGAGCTCTGGGGAGTCCCTGTACCTCCACGGGGCCACTTCTGGAAGCCTCGGAGCGCCCCCTTTCCCAGTCTGACCCGTAAGTACCGGGAGACGAAAATCTAAGTCCCGCCCAGCGCAGAGGCTATGTGGCCTGGGGCAGGTCGCTGCACCTTTCTGAGTCAGTCTCTGAGACCCCCACCCCGAGAAGGCGGCTAGCCTCCTCTGTCGCCCCGGGCTACTCACGGGGCTTGGGGCAGCGCGGCGTGCACGCCCTGCCTGGGCGGCAGCAGCAGCAGCAGGAGCTGGAGCAGCGGCCCAAGCAGGGCGCCCCACATTTTCCGACTCTGTGGAGACGCCGTACCCAGGGAGAGGGCCTGGCCAGGGTTGGGCCGGGGCTGAGGCCGGGGTCCTTGAGCCTCTGTTCCCGCTGCGCTGTCGGGGACCCTTTGTTCGCAGCCCTCGCGCGGTGCGCCCGGCCAGGCTGGGGCAGCGGGGACCAGCCCCCTCCCCGGCCCCGCCCCGCGCGCCCCGCCCCCGTCCGGCCCCGCCCCCGAACTCATCCCCTCCACCTACTCCCCAACTCCCTCCCGGGACCCGCCTCCAGCCCGGCTGCACCCCCAGACCCGGCCCATCCCCTTCCCCTCATCGACCCAACCTGTCCCTTCTGCTCTGCCACCCTGGCCCAATATCCTACCCAAACCCTTCCCCTCCCTCTACGGTCCCCCCATCCACCCTGGCTCCCCAGCTGCCCCTCCGTGGACCTGTGCGGCCCCTCCACAGGGGTAGTGCATCTCGGCGCCCTCTTCACCCTGCATCACGCAGGTCCCGCTGTGTCCAACACTCCCCCGCCCTCAGCCCCCGACCTGGAGACCCTCAGGCCCCGGCAGTGCAGTGCAGCCTGAGGAGCAGAGCCCTTCAGAGAAGCTAAGGCTGGCTAGGGGGCCAGCCTTCCAGACCCGCAGCTGTCTCCGCACCCCTGACTGCTCATCCTCACTTCTGCCCTCTCCCTACGCCGTCCTCAAATCCCCTGGGCCAGGCGCCTCCCTCTCTAAGCCTCCTTTCCCTGTCTTGAGGGAGGGTGTCTCCTCATGCCCCTCTCAGTGTCTCCAGCTCAAAGATGGTCCCCCTGTTGCAGGTCCTTCTGGTGGGGAGCACCTTATGCAACATCAGGTTCGAATCTTCTTTCACTCCCTCCGGTATCCTGGCGCCCCCGCCCACACGCACACATACACACTGGCCTGAGGCCTCTTTGGTGTTTATTGGGACCATGAGTCTGCCCGGGTGGCCCAGCCTCACCCTAGTCCTCCTGACCCTGTGCTGACCCCCCCACTGCCTGCCTTTGCTCAGACTCTGCCCTCCACCTCCTCCCGTGCCTGCCCAACTCCTGCTCATTCTGGAAGCTTCCCTGGAACCCTCTCTGCTGCCAGGCACGGTGGGCACTTCAGGCAGCCTCGTCCACCAGCCTTCCCCATAGGCTTTGGGCCAAGCCCTGGGCAGGCAATGGGGACTTCAGGACACACAGGACCCACCAAAGCAGATGGTGGAAAGGGAAGTGCAAGGACCAGAGTAGAAGAGGGGACAGCAAAGCAGTGGCAGCCTACCAGCACAGTCCACTCGGTCACCAAGCAGGATCTTCTAGTAAAACCCTCACAGTTCACGCCTGCCCTACCCAGTCCAGCCCCTCCAGGGACCCCACGGCCAGAAGGGACACAGGGCGTGCCTGTGTGCGGGAGCAGCCACAGGGGTGACACTCGCTGCCCAGGAGGGCACAGCTACAATGTCACTTGGGGAGTGGCCAGCAATACTAATGAAGCTAAAACTTCGTGTGACATCTGACCCCACTGAAAGGGAAGGGATGTGACCAAGGTGACTCAGCCACGCAGTTGCACCGTTAAGGACAGTGAATAACCAGAAGCCAGCTGCGTGACCAGTCACGGGACAAGGGACAAACAGATGAAGGAGGTGTCACATGTGATCCCCACAAAGCAGAGAAAGTGAGGTGCAGGGAGATAGGGACCGGGGAGGGCAGAAGCGGGGAGAGGAACGCAGGGAGGCAACTTCAACAAGACCCAAGAGCTTCCTCCTCCCGCTGCCTGGGGAGCAGGACCAGGTGCCGAGGGTGGGGGCGGGGTGTGGGGAGCCTTCCTGCCCCCTGTGTGCTCTAGGCCCCTGCGTGTGAGGCCCAGGACTGCTGACTCAATGAAAGAGCAGAGACCTCTGCACATGACAAGAGTGAGCCCACGCCCTGGACCTAGGGCTCCGGGTGGGCTTTCGGGGAGGCTCCTCCGCTGGCCTTAGCTGAGCCCAGCAAAGAGCATGGCAAGATGGCTTCTGGTTTTGCCCAAACCCGAAGGGGCCAGGGAGCCAACCTCAGTACCCTCTCAAGGACCTCAAAGTGCCCAGAAAAGAGCAACAACCAGCAGGAACCAGCTAGGGAGAAAGGCACAAAAGCTGCTGGGAGTCTCTTAGGAGCCTTCCAGGGCTGCTTTACAGATGGAGAAACATCCGGACCGCGACCTGCCCACGCTCCCCAATGCACCTGGAGAGGAGCATGCATTCACCGCCCCCCACGGTGACTGTAGTGTCCTGCATGTGTATGTGCACGTGTGTGTCTGTGTGTGTACACACCATCCACATGGTCCTGGTCTGGTTGGGGGCCTGGGAGAAGTTGCACAGGATGAATTTCCTGTGCCTGCTGTAACAAATTTCCATAAATTGGGCAGCTTAAATAATAGGACTTTAGACAGACCATACGATGCAACAAAATATTTGCAAATCTTCTATCAGGTGAAGAATTAATGTCCAGGTTCTATAAAGGGTGCCCATGACCCAACAGCAACAAAAAACATACAGCCCAATGCAACAATGGGCAAAGGCTCCGAACCAGCATTTCTCCAAAGAAGACGCAAAAATGGCTAACATCACTGATCAGTAGGGAAATGCAAATCAAAATCACCACGAGATACCACTCGACACCTATACAATGTTATTATTTATTAATTTTTTTAAACCCTCACCTGAGGACAGGCTCATTGATTTTTAGAGAGAGGGGAAGGGAGGGAAAGAGAAAGGGGGAGAAACATTGATGTGAGAGACAAACATCGATCGGTTGCCTGTACACGTACCCCGACTGGGGACCATACCTGCAACCCAGGCATGTGCCCTGACCGGAAATGGAACCCGCGACCTTTCAGTTTACTGGATGATGCTCCAGCCAACTGAGCCACACTGGCCAAAGACACAACGGTATTATTTTTTTTTAATAGACAATAATAAGTGTTGATGAGGACATGGAGAAATTGAGACTTGTGTGTGCTACACATGGAGGTGTAAAATGGCGTGGCCGCTGAGGAAACAGCCTGGCAGGTCCTCAAAAAGCGGAGCATAGAATCACTACACGATCCAGTTATTCCACTTTTGGGTATATCCTCAAAAGACAGAGAGAACGTAAATAAGCATTGGGCTAAACAGCAATTTTTCCAACAAAGTCATGAATTAGGTGTAGCGTTGCCAGAATTAATAAATAAAAATAGAATTATATTTGAATCTCAGAAAAATGACAAAAAAATAATTTTAGCATAAATACGTCCCATGAAATACCAGGTTAGTGGGGCCAGTCAACTAATCTGCCCTGTGTTCCCCTATGGAACTTGCAGGCCCCCTCCAGGGGCCTTGTCACTGTGAAGCCCTGCCCCAGGGCCTCCCTCGCCTGGGTGGCCATGCCTCCAAATGAGTCCCTGTAACTCTTGAGTCTGCACTCACCCACGCCACCTGGAGGACCATGCACCTACCCATCACGCCTGGGGGCTGCCTGCACCCACCGCCCGTCGGGGGCTGTCTATGCCTGTCCAACACCTGAAGGCTGTCTGCGCCTGCGCGCTTCACCCGGGGGCTGTCTGCTCTGGCGGGGTGAGTGTGTGCACGTCTGTCCTGGGGAGAGCGGGGAGGCGCCATCTGCAACCGTTCTGACTGGCCCCAGAGCCCCTGCATGGTTGGGAGTCAGACGCCCCAGGTGGGTCCCTTAGGCTGCCGCCTACACCCACCACCCACTCACTGGAGGCCCCCATGAGATGAGAACAGGGACCAGCCTCTGACGGCACATGGGCTGGTGCTGAGGTTTGGCTGATGAAAAAACTGAGGCCCAAGCCATTCAGCCCCACATGGAAGCCTCGGCCACTCCTGCCTTCTGGGCAAACAGGCTGGAAATAAAAGCACCACAGAGAACGCCCTGGCCTGCCTTGGCTCCGCCGGCTGATTCGTCCTAGAGAAGATGCCAGCTCAGTGCCAGGAATGTTCTGGATCTGCCCTGGGCCAGGAAGGACTGAAGAGGCACCAGGCCGCCAGCAGCTCTGAACTCTGGGGGTCTGGGAGGGGCTCCCACCTTTTGCTCCCTGGGGTAGATTCACCCAACCCTGCAGGGAACAGGTCTGCAGGCGGCAGATCCTGGGACGGCCACCTGGCCAACTGCACGTCCCACCCAGGTGAGGTGGACAGCCCCCAAAGGAGGCAGACCAGTATAGACAGCCCCCAGCTAAGGTGGGCAGGTGTAGACAGCGCACGGGTGAGCTGACTGCCCCTTCCCCTTCTTTCCTTCTCTCATCTTGTGTCTATGGACACCGCCCACCAGGCAAACCAGGTGCTCAAAGGTGGACCAGCCCTGAGCCCAGGGCATAGTTGATAGTCCCATAGTACAGGTAGGAGGTTCCCAGGTGTGACACTGGAACCAGGCAGCCCAGAAGTGAGAGGGGTCAGTTCCCACAGACTGCTTTGCAGGAGAAGCAAAGGAGAAGCTCCTTTGTGCAAATCTTCCAAGGCTCCCTCACCCTCCTGGCTTCCCAGGCCACGTCCCTCCCAACGCGGGGCCTCCCACTGCCCCATGAGCCAGCTGGGCTCACTCCGGCCCCTCCCCCAGCACATCCTTGCCATCCAATGGGCTTCAGCTCTGCGGGGCAGACCTCAGGCCTGGCCCCCTTCTTCTTCTACCATTGTGCTTTTTCTTTTTTTTTTTACAGCTTTATCAAGATGAAATTTACTTCCCATAAAGTTCACCCACTTAAACTGTACAAGTCAACAGCTTTTAGTATATTTTCCAGAGGTGTGCAGGCATCTCCATTCCCTAATTCTAGAACATTTCCATCATCCCCAAAGGAGACCCCATCCCCATGAGCAGTCATTCCCCGTCCCCGCCCCCAGCCCCTGGCAGGCATCGACCCACTTTCTGTCTCCTAGGATCTGCCTGTTCTGGGCATTTCACAGAGATGGAATCGTGCGCCACAAGGGCTTTGGGGACTGGGGTCTTTCCCTCGGCGTCATGTTGTCGAGGTTCCTTCCAGAGGCCTCTTCCAGCTTA